TGAGATGCTCCATTGCACCATAAATAGCTCTCTTTCTCAATGTTGAATGAGTATTCACTCAGCTTGCTCCACAACTGAGTGTTTATCTTGACCACGTGATTGTTCGACAATGGGGTGTTTTTAGGTCCCCTGTGAATAAGCTGTATTCTGGTATATGCTGGATTAAATGGTGATGGATGAATTCTTGTGATAATTGTATAAATTGTATTGGTTGAATTGGTCATGATTTTGATTAATTAGGATTAGTCTAGACAGTTTTTTCCCCACTTCCTCTTCGGGCTTGTGCCCAAATTATTGTACTTTTTAATAATAATAAACATATTCTTTATTTTTCCTTCGGTAGACCATGTGCAAAACACGAAGTCTTTTTTTTTTCGAGGTCGATAATTTTCTCTTTCGTTGCCCAAATGAAAGACAAAGGGTATGTGGAAGAGTCGATCTTGTGTACGTGGCGGGGGTGGTTCGATCTCTGACGGTCGCAACTTGGAATGTAGCTCGTCTGAATATCTACCAGGAAAATAAAGTAGATCGCAATGTTTCGACTGTGTAAAAAGGGAGTCGTAGGTTAGAAAATAATTCACCACCCACACGGCCGCGTAAAAGATTTTGAAATCTGCCGAGGTTGGATTATGGCAGCAATAGTCCATATTTAGAAAAATTGTCATCATCTTGATTATTATAATGTTATTATAAACAAGAGGTTTCGACTAAGTACTCTCTGGCCATCATCAAGGTGACCGTTGTTGTCTGATATTGTTTTTCACTTTTTTCCTAGTTATTGTTCATTGCTGTCGAACCAGGGTTTCATTACGTGATTCTCGTCACGTAAGGAAATCATGCTAATACCCTGCTAAATATACCGATAATATCCTGATCACAAAGGATATTAGCAGTGTATTTTTGGAGCCTTTATTTTATCAATGTGAGTCTGTTTCCTGACGCTTTTCGATAGTTTTTAATACTTTTCTTTCTCATGATTTCGATCCTGTTCGTTATCACGTGATCTTGCCTTCTTTCCTTTTTTCGTTTCCTTCTTCATTTTTTTCATTCTTTCTTATTTTCTTTCTAAATATTTATGCCATGTAAAGTTCTTTTTTTTCTATGCGATATTTATTTATAGAGATTACTTTATCGTATTTCTTTTTCTTTTCTTTAAAATCTTTATTCCATGTGAATTTCTTTCTTTCATTCTTTTTATTCAAGATTTCTTCATCGAGATTACTTTATCTACCTTCTTTCTTATCTTTCTTTCATTTCAAAAATCTTTATTACGTGTGAAATTTTCTTTCTTTCTTTCTTTCTTTCTTTCTTTCTTGCTTTCTTTCTTTTTCTTGCTTTCTTTCTTGCCTTCTTTCTTTCTTTCTTTCTCGCTTTCTTTTTTCTTTCTTTCTTTTTATTCAAGATTTCTTCATCGAGATTACTTTATCTTTCTTTTTCTTTTCTTTCTTTCATTTCAAAAATCTTTATTCTGTGTGAATTTTTCTTTCTTTCTTTCTTTCTTTCTTTCTTCTACATTCCTTGTCATGGTATCTTTCTTTCTTTGTTTTACATTCATTGTCATATATATATCTTTTTTCTTTCTTTCTTTCTTTCTTTCTTTCTTTCTTTCTGTCTTTCTTTTATTTCTAAATATTTATTCTATGTGAAATTTTTTCTTTCGTTTCTTTTTATTCAAAATTTATTGATAGATATTACATTTTCTTTCTTTCTTTCTTTCTTTCTTTCTTTCTTTTTTTTTCTTTTTATTCAAGGCTTATTCATAGATACTACTTTATCTCCCTTCTTTCTTTCTTGCCTTCTTTCTTTCTTTCTTTCTTTCTTTCTTTCTTTCTTTCTTTCTTTCTTTCTCGCTTTCTTTTTTCTTTCTTTCTTTTTATTCAAGATTTCTTCATCGAGATTACTTTATCTTCCTTTTTCTTTTCTTTCTTTCATTTCAAAAATCTTTATTCCGTGTGAATTTTTCTTTCTTTCTTTCTTTCTTTCTTTCTTTCTTTCTTTCTTTCTTTCTTTCTTTCTTTTATCCTTTAAGTTTTCATTCAATTTTTTCTTTCTTTTATCCTTTAGGTTTTCATTCTCTTTCTTTCTTTCTTTCTTTCTTTCTTTCTTTCTTTCTTTCTTCCTTCTTTCTTTTCTTTTTTTCTTTCTTTCTTTCTTTCTTTCTTTCTTTCTTTCTTGCTTGCTTGCTTTACTTCTTTCTGTCTTTCTTTTATTTCTAAATCTTTATTCTATATGAAATTTTTTCTTTCGTTTCTTTTTATTCAAAATTTATTGATAGATATTACATTTTCTTTCTTTCTTTCTTTCTTTCTTTTTTTTTCTTTTTATTCAAGGCTTATTCATAGATACTACTTTATCTCCCTTCTTTCTTTCTTGCCTTCTTTCTTTCTTTCTTTCTTTCTTTCTTTCTCGCTTTCTTTTTTCTTTCTTTCTTTTTATTCAAGATTTCTTCATCGAGATTACTTTATCTTCCTTTTTATTTTCTTTCTTTCATTTCAAAAATCTTTATTCTGTGTGAATTTTTCTTTCTTTCTTTCTTTCTTTCTTTCTTTCTTTCTTTCTTTCTTTCTTTCTTTCTTGCTTTATTTCTTTCTGTCTTTCTTTTATTTCTAAATCTTTATTCTATGTGAAATTTTTTCTTTCGTTTCTTTTTATTCAAAATTTATTGATAGATATTACATTTTCTTTCTTTCTTTCTTTCTTTCTTTCTTTCTTTCTTTCTTTTTTTCTTTTTATTCAAGGATTATTCATAGATACTACTTTATCTCCCTTCTTTCTTTTTCTTGATTTCTTTCATTTCTAAATCTTTATTCCATGTGAATTTAGTTTTTTCTTTCTTTGTTTTTATTCAACACTTATTTATAGACATTACTTCATCTTTCTTCCATTTTTAAATGATTACTTTATACAGTTTTTTTTTCTTTTTTTTTTGGTTTACCTTCTTTTTATTGTTCCTTCTGTCGAAACTTCAGAGCTCTTCATTGTCTGGAGGCAAAAAAAAAAGTACAACAAAAAAACATACCACGAACATTTTTTTTTAGCTAATTGCGTTCACACAATGGGTACAATTAGCATAGCCTAAGTGATGTTAGATACACTGAGAAATGAATTGTTTGTCTGGATGTTAATCAATGTCTTTCTATCATTCTTCTGCAGTTCATTCTCTAGTTCTGTCTATTATGAGTAAACTTTTACGAGAGGATGGCTAAACTTGCGGAAATATAGACCGATCTTGTTTTTTGCTTTTGTCTTTCTTTAATTATAGTGAATTATTTGGTTTTGTGATGAGAAGTTTAACATAAGAGATGCACATAAGATATGCAAATGACACTATTTTGATTACGGACCTAGAAGTGGACTGAAAGAACTTTGTGTCTGTGCACAAAAGCAAAGCAAATGGAAAGAACTAAGTGTTAGATGCAAGAAGACGGAACGTGCAAAAAATGAAACAAGTATTTAATTTGTCTAATGTTTTACCGAAATAAACTATTTTTTTTTTATTGATGTGTCAAAAGCGCAACGTTTATGTGGACTAATAAATCAAGAGGATAATCATCATTATCATCATCGGTCCTTCGATTGCTTCACTCGGCCGGGGAGGGGGGCACCTGAGGGCAAAAGAAACAGATTGTTCTTCTTCACGATCCTTTGGGCTTTCAGATTGCTTAACGGCGCCCATCTCCGCTCCTAAACCGAACACCACGGATTATGGCGTTGGTCGGTCTCAGTCCATAAATTGGGTCATCAGGTTTTGAATTTCATTGTAAATCCGAACGAAATACTTATTGGGCCGCGGATAGCATACGATCACAACAATGGGTCGATCTATGCAAGATTCATGTATCCGCGGATTGACAAAGATTTCTATTGATGTGTCAAACGTACAACATTGATGGTGGACTGATAAATCTAGCCGATCATCATCATCACCCTCGGTCCCTCGAATGCTTTACTCGACCGGGGAGGGGTCACCTGAGCGCAAAAGAAACAAGCATAGACTGTTCTTCTTCACGATCCTTTCAGTGGGCTTTCAGATTGCTTAACGGCGCCCATCTCCACTCCTAAACCGACCAGCACGGATTATGGCGTTGGTCGGCCTCACTCCGTACAGTAGGTCATCAGGTTTTGAATTCAATTCAGAGTTCTCCTTCTCCTAGACCAGTCGCCACCCAAGGTTATAGGACCCTCCTAGGTGAGGGAAACGAGAAGTATTCGGTTAGAGATATTAACGGCAGTAAAATCTGATATGTCAGAACGCGCAAATATGAAACGAGTATTTGTTTAATGTTTTTCTGAAATAAACTATTTTTTTTTATTCCATTTGATATTACTTAACTTTTACAAAGGCAAAATAGGAAATTAAACAAAAAAAAAAAAAAAGAATGAAACAATAAGACCCCGGAATACGACAGTCCCGAATTGAACGACGACGATTCGCAATCTCCATTAATTTTTCGACGCAATCTCCATTAATCTTGTTTAGATTTACGCTCGATTTGCCTCGTAGACGATAAAGCGGCCCGGAGTTCAGTTCCTGTTTGTACGACGCCATATTGGATTTTGTTTGCCTGCACGTAACTCGTTTTTCGTTTGTGCCATATTGGATTGTTGTGCATTGGAAAACATATTGCTCATCATTATCCCTCCCAATCGTAGTGTAGCCTCTTCTGATGACCGTGCTTCGGAGAAAAGGAAAGCCATCATCAGGGAAGTGAATTTAGACATTTTTAAACACTAAGAAAAAGAAGGAACAGCGACAAACATTGGCTTAAATCTTTCGACTGTCGCTTAAAACATGGATATATGTGTATACCTATTGAGTTTCCCTGTAAGAGATCAGGACAATATCTTTTAAAACTATTTGTTGGTGTTTTTTTGGAATTTTCTTCAACCTATAGATGGCTCAAGAGCGACTCAAGATAGATGATAACAGAATTAAAGAACAAGGGGTTTACAGTTTATAGACATCTAGACATGTACAGACAGGTATCGGTATTAATACGCTAGGATGGAAAGATAGATAGATAGATAGATAGATAGATACGAAAAGTTAGAATTTGCTATGAACAGAGTGGGATATATAACTAGATACAAAACCAATCGCTTGAAACATGGATATATGTGTATACATATTGAGTTTCCCTGTAAGAGATAAGGGCAATAATTTTTAAAACTAGAAGTTGGTGTCTTTTAGCAATGATCTTCACCCTATAAATGGTTCAAAAGCTACCCAAAGTTGAGGATAACAGAATTGCAGAACAAGGTGTTTACAGTTTATAGATAGCTAGATATGTGTAGACAGGTATCGATATTAATACGCTAAGATAGTGTTGTGGTACGATCCACCTAATTTACATAGTGGAGTACCGACCATATAAATATGGGTTGGTACCGGGAAGACGAGGGGAGGAAGTAAGAAGAGATCCAATCCAGAGACTCTGCCCGACTGCGATTAAGTCAACCCATTCTACAGGAACAGTCTTCCCAAGAATATACCAAAACTAACTGTAAATATTGTGTACCTTTCCCTTGTTTCAATACATTTTGTTTACGTACATTTTGTGTTGTATTATTATTATTCCATGCTTATCCAAGCTTCAACAGATAGATAGATAGATAGATAGATAGATAGATAGATAGCACCATCACTTAATAAGACACCAGAAGAGTTGAAACAAAATGGCTATAATAGGACAGACCGGGTTCTATAGCCTTGGATAGCAACTGATTTACCGTAGAAAGAAATGGTGAAATATACATGATCGCCTAAGCGTGTATCACGCATGCCACATATCTGACTGACTGGCGTGGTAATACACCTGGGGAAAGGTATGAATCCTCTTCTTCTCCCCCGCCAAGCTATAGGTAAATAGCAGGACAGACCGGGTTCTATAGCATTGGATGGCAACTGGAGTTAACACCATCACTTGATAAGACACCAATATCTTTTTAAACTATAAGTTGGTGTTTTTTTTAGCAATGGTCTTCACCCTATAGATAGCTGAAACGCTACTCAAGGTTAAGGATTATAAAATTACAGAACAAGGGGTTTGCAGTGTATAGATAGCTAGATAGTTATAGACGGGTATCGATATTAATACGCCCAGATAGATAGATAGATAGATAGATAGATAGATAGATAGATACGAAAAGACAGTGTTTGCTATGAACAGAGTGAGATATATAGCTAGGCACGAAAACACTCGCTTGAAACATGGATATATGTGTATACAGTTTACAGTTTATAGATATCTAGATATGTATGGACAGCTATCGATATCAATACGCTAAAATAAAAAAGAAAAAATGATAGAAGGAAAGAAAGAAAGAAATATATATAGAGATAGATACGAAAAGACAGAGTTTTCTATGAACAGAGTGGGATATATAGCTAGATAAGAAACTGCTCGCTTGAAACATGGATATATGTGTATACATATTGAGTTTCCGTGTAAGAGATAAGGACAATAATTTTTAAAACTATAAGTTGGTGTTTTTTTAGCAATGATCTTCCCCCAATAGATAGCTGAAAAGCTACTCAAGGTTAAGGATTATAAAATTACACAACAAGGGGTTTACAGTTTATAGATAGCTAGATATTTATAGACAGGTATCGATATTAATACGCTAAGATAGATAGATAGATAGATAGATAGATAGATACGAAAAGACAGCGTTTGCTATGAACAGATTGAGATATATAGCTAAACAAGAAACCACTCCCTTGAAACATGGATATATGTGTATAACATATTGAATTTCCCTGTAAGAGATAAAGACATTTTCTTGTTAAGATGGTGAATGCTCGATAAAAAAAACAAAAAAAAAACGAAAAATAAATTCACGTTTGTTTTCCTTTCTCCATCAAATTTGCTGCTGTTTCCGATTACTGGAAGAGAGACAAGATGTTACCTTTCGTCAGCTCATCCAACGAGAGCCAATGACATCACTGTCAATATATATACAAGCAGCTTAAAACAACTGAATTTTATTATATGTATTGTTTTAATTTTCTCCGCATCTTTCTTTTACGAGAGGTGTACACACACATAAACACACACCTCTTCTGATGGCGGTGCTTGGAAGAAAATGGAAGCCATCACCATGGAAGTGAATTTAGACATTGTTAAACGTTCTGAAAATGGAGAAACAGCAATGAACTTTGACCTGTGGTTTGGATGAAGTCGTTCGATTGTCGATTAAAACATGCACATATGCGTATACATATTGAGTTACAACGTAATGATAACAATAAAATTAAAAAAAAAAAAAAAAAGTACAAAAAATATCAACTATTTTTAAAATTTATTCTTGAAATGGTAAAATTTTGAAATCAATTTGTAAGCAAAACTGCGGTGATGATGTATTTCTCTACATTTTTTCCCGACGATCTTTACAACAAATTGCTCAACAATTGATAAAAGTTGTCAATCTAATTTTTGGTGTCAGTACTTACCACATCAAACCCCAGATTTCATATCGTGTGCAATGTTGATTCTCCAAAAAATGCGAAAAAGCAGCCTGCCCAATTTTGTATGGTTGTTAGCCATTGTTAGCGTCATTCAGGTTTTATTTATTATAAAGATATTTATTTATTATTATAAATGTAATATATTCAAAATTCTAGGTAGAAGATTTATTTTACTAATTCAGCTTTAGCACCGAGAAACGTTTATTTTATTGTGATGGAAGCTTAAAATCGCGATGGGAGATGGCATGGTTTGGTTTGTTTTACGGCATATCAACTTCAATGGGTTATTTAATGCCGACAAGATTTTTATAGCTTTAACGATGGATCGTATATACGAGTTCCACTTAAGGTCTGGTTGGTTTGCTTTGGTTTGGTTTGTTTTACGGCATATCAATCTCAATGGGCTATTTAATGCCGACAAGAATTCTATTGCTGGTAATATTTTTTTTTCCAAAAATTTATTACTGGTAATAATTTTTTACAAAATATTTCTGGTATTAAAACCTATTTTTACACTTTCATAGTTTTTTAACACCAGTTTTTTTTTGGGGGGGGGCTTAACTATTTTCCCATAGCTGGGACCCTAACAGGTGCTACCACTCCGGGTCATGGTGGATCTGGGAACACCAGCAATTAAGAGGTGGTTTCACACTCCTCAAAACCTGATCAAAAACCTTGCTGTTGGATGTAGTTTATCGTCATACACAGGATGCGGATGTAGTTTATCTTCTTACCCAGGACGCGGATGTAGTTTATCGTCTTACCCAGGACGCAGATGTAGTTTATCTTCTTACCCAGGACGCGGATGTAGTTTATCGTCTTACCCAGGACGCGGATGTAGTTTATCTTCTTACACAGGACGCGGATGTAGTTTATCGTCTTACCCAGGACGCGGATGTAGTTTATCGTCCTATCCAGGACGCGAATGTAGTTTATCACCTTACCCAGGACGGGGATGTAGCTTATCGTCATACCCAGGACAGGGATGTAGTTTATCGTCATACTCAGGACGCGGATGTAGTTTATCGTCATACCCAGGACGGGGATGTAGTTTACCGTCATACCCTGGACACGGATGTAGTTTATCGTCATACCCAGGACACGGATGTAGTTTATCGTCTTATCCAGGACGGGGAGATAGGATGTACTTATTTTATTACCATAATAAAGTTAATTATTTATTTATTAAGAGTTTTTGATCATGTTGACTAAAATTAGCCTGGTATGCAATAAACCCCCAACGGTAAATCTGAGGGAAGATCGTGTTACGCCAAATTTTGAGTTTTCGAATTCTGGATCTGGATTAGGTAGGAACACCGATCCATGCAATCCGCTTTATTTTTGTTGTTGTTGTTTTTAGAGAGAGAGAGAGAGAGAGAGAGAGAGAGAGCGTTCCTCATGATCACGTTTTTCTCTAAACATATTTTTTATTCTTCCTAAAGGCAAAAATGTCGGCTGAAGTTTTTTTTTTTTTTTTTTATCCATTTTTAAAAAAAATTCGTTCTTATTATTGTCCAATCAATTCCGTCCATTGAAACGAAGTTTTATATCAGTTCAGTAAAATTGTAAAATCATATTGGTTTTTGTAAGAATTCGATTTCGTCAATTGAAATACATCAGCTCCATTGGTAGCGAGAATTTTTAGGCGGGAAGCCGGTAAAAAAAAAAAAAATGGATTTAAGATATTTTTTTTTTTTTATTACCATAAGACATTCTTGAACTATTTGAATGAAAGCAATCAGTTTTCCATCAATAAGTATTTCTTTGAAAATCAAGTCTTTATTATTTTTAATTTCCGTTTTTTTTTTTTTTTTTTTTTTTTTTTTAAGCAAAGAGCCACTGGGGCGAATGCATTAAAAAAAGAGAAGGGTTTCAATCCCTTTCAAATCCAATCCGTTAATAAGACGATGCAATTTTTTTTTTTAATGGTTTTATTTATTTCTACTCGGTTTTGTTACTTCTGTTGTTGTTTATAGTAATATTTATTAGTTTAACTTTGTTTTTTTTTTGTTTTTTTTTTTGCAACGTGTTATAAAGCAGTCAATCTTTCCGTTTCAATTTTAAACATTTTTTCGGTGAAATTGATTTACGTATTATTTAAACTTCAATGAGAGAAAATGATTCTCCAACTCTATTCTATTTCTTTCCTTTACTTTTTTTTCTAATTTATCGCATTTCTCTTCAAACCGCCTTTTCATTTTTTTTTAATAATAATAAAAAAAAAGTTTCTTTCTATTCGAGTATGTTGCTAAATTCTACTTGCTGCATTACATCTTTAGATATATATATATATATATTTGAATTTTTTTCCGTAAGTTTTTTTAATGCTGCCTTTAATATCTTTTTTCCCTTTTAATGTCATACAACATGAAGAAGCTTTCAAATCTATCTTTACCTACACATATTCGAAAAGCGATTCCTAATGGTTAACACACACACACACACACACACACACACACACACCCCCGACATGCACCTCCACACGCGTTCCACATGCACCCCTTCCACACGCACAACTCTCCCAGCATCTTTCGTTTCATGAGTCGTACCAACGAGAAAATTTTAGTTCGATGAAGTCCGACAGGATTGAAACGCACTTTGTCATACATTTTCCCCAACATATATATATATATATATATATATATATATATATATATATATAGAGAGAGAGATAGATAGATAGATAGATATAGGTAAATCCGTTGAAAAGTAATCCAAGTAGATCCTATTAATATAAAATATTAAAACTGATCCACAAAAGAGAGGTGAATATAATTTTTATTACAGAGCATATAAGTGAATTACAATTAATGAGATCCAAACAATTTACCTCATGCAGATGATCATTTCGTCCATTTTTTTTTCTTCATTCTTCTTCCTTGCACAGGTGTTGATAGGTCACATTTATGTCGGTGTCCATTTTCAACCGTCGCGTTTATCTGTACCTGACTCCACCACAACCACATTAGGTCACTTAACCCACTTTATCTATATATCTCTCTCATCTATTGTAGGACAATTCTTACTTCCTCTCCTTTTATTTTTTCCATTTTTTTTCCTTCCTTCTGTCCTTTGCCTTTCAAATTTCCTGTGAAGAAACGTGGCATTTTATTCATTTTTCATTTTAGTAAAGCTATTTCTGCTGATAAATCCAGGTGAAACTACATTCCAATGGACGAAATGATCATCCGTATGAGGTAAATTGCCTGGTTATCATATATATATTTATTTATTAATATAGACAAAATTTTGTCTATTTATTTTAAGTAAATTCCTTTCATATTGTCTTATAAGCTTAGTAACATTATGATTGAAAGACGAAAGAAAATCACCATATTGATACATGTTTTTTAATCCTAATCTTTTAAGCTTTCGGCTTACATAAGCCATAATCAAAGATGACAATTGCATTTCATTATTAAACAATACACGGACAAAACACTGTCGGACTTAATAAAGTTCATTATATATATATATATATATATATATATATATATATATATATATATATATATATATATATATATTGATGCATGTTTTTTAAATAATATAGACAAATTTTTGTCTATTTATTTTAAGTAAATTTCTTTCATATTGTCTTATAAGCTTAATAACATTATCATTGAAAGACTAAAGAAAATCACCATATTGATACATGTTTCTTTTAATCCTATCTAAGCATTCGGCTTACATATAAGCCATAATCAAAGATGACAATTGCATTTCACTACATTAAACAATACACGAACAAAACACTGTCGGACTTAATAAATTTCATTATATATATATATATATATATATATATATATATATATATATATAAAAAATATTAAAGAAGATAAGGTGCCGAAAACGTTTTTGGTTGTAATGTGGATTCTTTTAGTAAAAAAATATTATGCTTTTTTATTTTCCATCCACATTACAAAACCAAAAACGTTTGCGGCACTTTTCCTTCCTTTTTTTTTAATATATATACTTTTCTCTCGTTGGAACCACTATAACCTCTTTCTCTTATTATATATATATATATATATATATATATATATATATATATATATATATATATAATGAAATGAATTAAGTCCGACAATTATTTAATATATTAATATTGTTTGGATTGTCTACACAACAATACAGACAATATTTCTACAAATGAAAAATTATCTTCAAACATTAAAGGAAATGACGTAATTTTTCAGTTCACCCAATGAATAGATATGATTGTTTCTGAATTCTCCCAGTAACTAACTCAATTCATCACCATCCTTTTGACTTTTGTAGTCGTAAGAGGGGGGATCCGAATGCAGAAGCCATACTTAATATATTTTATAACGATCTATCAACGGCAGCCATCTGCAGTTCGGGTACAGTCAAACGTGTGAATTGTTTGACATTGTCCAACAAGTTTTTGAGTTGAAATCCTCACCTTCAACCAGTAAGAAATAACCAATCACAAAATCCTACTAACTTTTACACATTCAGCGTCCAACATTTTTTGCACATATATTTGAATATTATCTGTCTCGTCATCTCGCGTGATTTACAAAAGTCCGTTTTACACTCGAGCCAAAAAGCTATGTATAGATCCAGGTTAACAATAATCCAAAAGTTAGACAGTGATCCTGTTTACACTCTAGTTAAAAAAAAAAAAAAGACTTTAGTTGGTTTTATTCTCAGAGTGTAGCTCCTTTTTTGAAAGAGCCTTATGCCGTATTCTGAACCTTGCTTGTAGGGCATAGATCTTATATGAAGATAAGAATTATTTTAATAATTTACAGGGTCAGGGGAGGTAACGAAATTATTGTAATGTCTAAATATTTCCTAAAAAGCAAAAAGCTTTAAAACTATTAGTTAAAACCTAGATATTTAAACTATCTACTGTAAACATTTTAAAACACTTGAGCAGTATTCATAATTAATTTTATTAAGGTTTGGTATCAAATTTTTAATATTGATAGCTTCAAGAATTTTTAGTTTATTATTTTCATGAAAAAGTATAAATGTATTTCCAACAAGAATTTTCCTAAATTGCAAATGTAGACGGACATGCAAAAATTTTTGATGCATCATTCAAATGAAAACTCAACCTTCGAGACAATTTTTGTCATAGAAAAAAGAAGACCCTGATGACAACATTGTGCTAATATCGAAAGTACTCGGAAAAAAAATGAATATGCATTACCATGGTAATTTACTTTCTTCCTTTAATAAAGATACTAAGAAATTTGTCCGTAATTACGAGAGGATCCTATTAAAACAAGTAGACAACGCTTGTCTAAATTATTTAATGAGACATATACATAAAACAGTTGAAACCTAACTTGAACAAATGAATTTGAAATCTCCATAAATATTCTTAAATGTCTATAATTGCTAACAGAAGCCATTGGTATAAACCAATGATTTCCCATACTTAATACTTCTCATTTTCATTCTCGCGTGGTCATGTGTGACGTCATGAGCTGCGGTGCGATTTTCGTTTCCAGCGTCTCATATGCACGCATTTGTAGTTGCTTAGAAATTTTCTATGTAAACAAAAACAGACTATCATTATTGTTTTGTTCGTATATTGTTTAATATATTGTAATGCAATTGCCATCTTTGATAATGACTTATGAAAGCCGAAAGCTTAGATTGGATTAAAAGATATGTATCAATATTGTGATTTTCTTTCTTCTTTTAATGATAATGTTATTAAGCTGATCAGACGATATGAAAAGAATTTACATAAAATAAATCGACAAAACTTGTCTATATTATTTAATGAAACATGCATCAATGAAAAAATGCTGCTTAAACACACACACACACACACACAACACATATATATATATATATATATATATATATATATATATATATATATATATATATATATATATATATATATATATATATGACAAGCGTATATATAAATTTTAGTTCAAAATAGAATTTTTTCATTTTTCATTCAAAATACTCAAAATTGTAGGAATAGATTTTCACAGCGTCGCCCACGTGACGATAACGTGACCATGTTTTAAACGGAGCGCTGATCTTATAAAACTTTCAGTTATTTGTTTGGATAAGTCTTGTTCTAATGTACATCGTCTTTGTCATGTTGTATTGATAATGTTATAATTTATGAATATGTCCTGAAGATGGTTTATTAGACTGAAACGTCAGACGTTGACATATTAACATTAAAACAGCATAATCGTATATAAGGATTTTTGTTTTGTTTTTTCCGTATATATTTTTTCTTCATATATATATATATATATATATATATATATATATATATATATATATATGTATAATGGATTCTCCCGTCGATTTCGACGTATGAGGTCCTGACAGATATCCTTGTTTACGTTTCCTTGTGCCTGCACTCGCTCAGGCAAAGATGGCATTTGAGTCCAGCTAGATACCTGCACACAAGGCCACAGTGAATGCAGGCGTGATATTTCATAATAAAATAAAATAAAATAAAATAAATAAATAAATCTCCATAGACAATCAAACTATACGATGGCCAATACATCTTCCGTTTCATTTTTGACACCCCCACCTTTCCCCGACTTGACACCTTGAAAGTATCTCTATACCGCTACTCAATATAAACACCCTACACTCGCCTACCCAATTTAGAAAATTCACCATAGCTGTTACCATGGGGATTTTGATTTCAATTTTTAAAACACGTAAATTTCAGATATACGTTATTCCAACAAAAATTTCGCTTGAGGATGGAACGGAGCCCTTTTTAATTTCAACTCAATTTAATTTAAAGGATTATATTGAAGTTTTCGGCTCTAGTTTTGAAACATGAGACCTCTTATGTAGCGATTTGGAATCATATTTTAAATAAATAATTATATTTATGCTCTACTTTTGTATCGAGCACTATTTTTAAAAATAATAACTAAAATACTAAGGGACTTTGGATTATTTACCTAACCAGTTCCTTCCTATTTTCTATATATTTTCACACACACACACACACACACACATATATATATATATATATATATATATATATACCTAAAAGCCACAAAACAAGCTGTCTGGTACCCCACACAGTTATATCAGAAATTGGCAGATTTTCCCGAAAACTGGTGAAACCCATTACAAAAAAAAATTAAACCCTCTTTTTTGAACAATTAGGCCATCACATATTAAAAATTCAGGGAACCTGATTGAAAAAAAAACAAACTTCTTTTTCTTTCTTTTTATGTGCCATGTCCTTTCTGGACGTCGGCGATCATGGCTCTCCACCTCTTTCTATCCCTTGCAACTTTCAGCAAGCCCCTTCCATTTGCTTCCTCCCCCAGACCACGTTCTGTCATCCACTTGCTTAAGCCCGCCAGGTATGTCACGCGTTGTATTCCCTTGTGACTTTTCCCCTCTATTTGACCCGTGAGTATCAGATTGTCAAGGCATTCATTCCTCATGATGTGACACAGAAACCTCATCTGCCTCTTTCTGATATTAAGTATAAACCTTCTTGCTTGCAAACCTAAGACTTCATCATTGCTTACACCCTCGCTCCATGATATCCTTAGCATCCTTCTGTAGAACCACATCTCCGTCGCCTCGAGTCTCTTCTTCGTCTTTGAGGAAATCGTCCAACATTCGATACCGTAAAGAAGGACAGATGTCACGTAGCAGCCCGGTATTCGTTTCTTTGTTACCAAAGAAATCCCACTGTCTCGCAATATCTGCTCAGCTTTTGGAACGTGTCCTTGGCCATCCCAATACGTCTTCGGAACTCAGCGTCGCACTTACCGTCTTCTGTCAAGACGCTTCCCAGATATTTAACCTTCCGCGTCTGCTTGATTCTAGTGTTCCCAACCTGCAAATCGCATTTCGGGCTCTTCCTCTTACTGTCGACCATGTATTCTGTCTTCTTGTAGTTTATACTTAGTCCTTTCTTCGCACTCTCCCTAGCTAACTTCTGTAGGAGATTTTGTAATTTCTCTTCCGTGCCTGCTATCAGTACTGTGTCACCTTTGTATCTTATGTTAAGGCCGTCAGTGCTAAATCCCAGTAGGGTTTCCAATTCTCTCAGAATTTCCTCGCTGTATTAGTTGAACAGGTCCGGTGAGAAG